AAAGTTTAATTCCTTTCTATCATCTCCTTGACCACTAATTTCCTTAGGGCATTTGTTGGCTCAAATTCTCCTCTTCCTCTCCTCCATGAATACTACACATGCCACATTCCCCTCCTGACTCTGCCTCATGGAAACATTCTTCTCTTCTTGCCTGCAGCTGCTTTTCTTACCCTGATCTACTCTCAGCATTTGCCTGCTTCAGTCTTGCCTTCTCCCTGATACAGAATTGGGGTGGTTTTTTTGCAGTTTCCTGAATCTTTCAGGTTGGGATGACCTCTGTCCATGCCTTGCCCTTTTGTCTGTCCTCCTACCTCCATCCATTCCCTCTCTTGGTTCTCGTCCCAAAGCCCCGTGGCAGAGGTCAGCAGGTGGTTGGTACTTCAACCAAGTCTGGCCTTACCTCCCTTCTACACCAAATGCTCTTCCTAAACCTGCCCTTCACTTATGGCTTCCTCTACTGGTGTCCTCTTGAGCAGCGATGGGTCAGTCCAACTCTTCTCTCGTTGCCTCTCCCCAGATCTCCAGACCTTTCCCACATGCTGACACATTTTGGAGTCCTTCCCTGTCATGGCGTTTCCACCGGCTTCATCCCCTCCCTCAGAGCCCTCCACAGGACACTCCCTTGCATGAAGCCTGTCATCGTTAATCTAACAAAACATGAAATTAGAGCAAGATCAGCTTTGTGCCTTTAGGATCAGCCCATTGACTGGCCATAGATGTATAACATTTTGCAATAATCCTATAAATTATTGCTACTTGTGTTCTGGGCTCCCTGAGACAAAGACAGTGGTGGTTTTGTTTCGGTTTTGTTTGTTTTTCCCTCCGGGGTGGATCACACAGAAGACAACAGGGCTTTGGCATTGATGAATGCAAGCAAAAAGTTCCTCTATTAAAACATATAAAAAATTCAAAGCCAGGTCTCACCCTTGGGACAGGGAGGTCCATCCCCACTGGGATGACATTTTGGGCCCACACCAGCGGGGATTTGTACCCCCAGGGCTGCAGAGGGGTCTGCAACCGCCCCGGCTGCAAAAAGCTGTGCGGGAGAAAGACGCTCCCCGAACCCAGCTCTCCTGCGATTTCGTTCACGAGGGAATGGTGAGAATTTGATGTTGATCTCTGCGGTCCCTCCCTCCCTGCCTTAGACGATAATGCTGCATAAAGCACATCTTTGTGTTGAAGAAAAACACAAAAAGTGCAAGGTCTTTTATCAAGCTTTTTTTTCCAGTTCTTGTTAGCATCAACCTGATAATGAGTAAATTACACTGCTCTTCTTGTGCACAGGATTATTCTTCTAACCCTACTACAATTTAGTTTTTGTTGGAGATTCCCCACCAGCTTTTCAGCGCTGTAGTCACCATTTAACACATTTTTAAAAAATGTGTATTTGAAAGATCTTGACCTTTTAAAAATCCTCATCTTCATTAGCACAAAACATCAAAAATAATTCTTTTTTATAAACCCATCTGTAAAACTGAGTCAGGAACTTCTTGCTGTTCCGCCATCCTCTTCCTTCTGCCACCCCTCACTTGTTCTCTCCCTCGCACCATTTTCGGGTTGCGCTCTTTGCTCTGGAAAATCGTGGGTCCTCTAACCCGCACCTGCCTCTTGTGATGAGCAACGCAAAATTGGAGCCATTGGAGACAGGATTTTGTACCTTGAGCTCCTCAGACGGGCTACCAAGGACATGAGGACTTAGAGTTTCACCCTTTGGCATCACATTTGGAAAATCAGAGCTAGGGCCAAACCCCTGCTTGGGGGTCGCTGCTGCTTGGCGGCCGGGAGCCCGCTCTGCAATGAAGGTATTTTTGGAGAAGGCCCATGGAAACAAGCAGATCACATTTCCTACTGGTTTTATCTGGTTGTCCAAGGCTTCTGAATGGATACGGAGGTTCAGCCCCACACGTGTGTATCTATTTCTGCTGGCAGAAGGCTCCAGCAGAGCTGCGACACCGGGTAACAGCTCCAGTAACTCCAGCGACTGATCAGCAACCAGCAAGACCTTCAACAAAAGTGAGAAGTGACAAATCCGAGGAGTTTTACAGTACTAATGCTTGTTATTGCTTCTCACAAAATGTTACCAAGCTTACAATAATCTTTACACTTTCAGCAAAAATGTGAACAGTATATTTGAATATATTAAAAAGAATTAAAAAAACATTTCACAAAAAACATTTGTTGCCATATGAAAGTCTTTCAGCAATAAATGCCCACACCAGTATTTAAACATTGTTAAAAGTATAATGATTTGTACTCATAAATTATGCAACAAGAGAGGTAAACAAAATAAAATTACAGTATAGCTCTCCACGTTCCTCCGCCGAGCGGCCGCAGCTCTCGGAAGCTCCATTTTAGATGACTAATTAAGAAACCGATATTTTCAGAGCAACAAAAATAAAAGCTTTTATTTGTTCATTTGAATATAAAACAGGCGTTATCACAGATGTACAAAGCGTACTGGTGGTTTAACATACAAGAAGGTTGCTGTCCTTTGCACATAAAAATTTTTGTTTGAAACTGTGATTGGCTGAGTTACATGAATTTCTCTAACCAGTCACTACACTCTATGAAATAACGCTGCTAACATTCAACTGATAAAAGGGACAGTCTTCCCTTGGGTAAAGTGTCAAGCAGGATTAAATATATATAATAAACAAGCACCATGAGGAATCTGCTCCTGTTTGATTAGTTTTGTGTTTAAATGTTCATTGTGTACCCTCTTTTTTGTGCATGTGCATCAAGTTGATTACATGGTTTTGTCTGACTCCAAAAGCACAAGGTCACAAGACAAACATTTGATACATTCTCATGAATGGTTTATCTACAGTACGATTTCTAATACAGAACAATCCTTCTTTATTGCTCAGTCTGATGGTGCTTAAATGTTTCCTTCCTTTTGCTTGCACAACAAAACCAGAAACTCGGTTTATCACTTCTCTTAACTCAGGATTTAACAACCACGGATGACAGGTTGCAGAAGAGAGCTGTTATTAACTGCGTTTCACAACTGCATTGCAGCTCTTTTATTCTCTGCAAATGTAAAATTGACTTCGCGAAGGTTAAAGTGATACTTTGAACGACAGCAAGATTGGTTTTGCAGTACTGAGATCAGCGATAGCAGGACTTCACAAGTTAGTTCACACACTGCAATTATGTTTGTAATCAATCGACACCTCGTCCGAAACCTTACGACGACGACTTGCCATTAAGAACAGATTTTTATTCTTTTTAGGGAGCAGAAAATGAATTTGACAAAATATAGGACTGGTCTTCAGAGCATGAACAGGGCTATTCACAGGACAGTGAGGGCGGGAAGGATGAGCCGAACAAAACCGCGGCTGACGTGGCGAGATGCTCTGTACTGTACATGCAGACTAAAACGTCCCTACCTTGTAAAGAGATTTTAAACACCCAGCATCGAGACTCCCTTAGACATGATATAAACATGGTTACATTTGCCCTGCAACAATCTTAGTCATGCATATCCGGTAATGAGAGCCAGCACACGAACGTCATCGGGGACAATAAGAAAAGCACTCTTGGACTGCAGCTGGTAAACCCCACTCTGGATCACAAACAGGTCGGTTCAGTTACAACCACATGGAGGAAGGGGAAGGCTTTAAAAAAGGGGTGCGGGGTGCCGGGAAGACAACAGAACTGGGGACTCAAACCTCTCTTTTGTCCAAAGGTAGTAAAATGAAGGCAGCTGTGATGCGTGTTTTCCTACTCTTCTCCCGCGATGGCCTCGGCTCGGAGGCCGCGGGACGGCTCCGTGCTCTGACCAGGCAGATCGGTTCTTCGCTGTTTGGGGGCTGTTAGCAGACGCACGACTGGTGCCAGACCGGCTGTAGTGACTGTACCTCCTCTCTGTTAAGGAATAAATTAAAGACCATCGAAACAATCGTTTCCTGTAAATGTAAACTGGATGCATTGGCCACCGAGCTACGTGTGCTAGCTGAGAGGCAAATCGAGAACTCTGTGCAAATAACCCCAAAACGTTTCCTTATAGCAATAAAAACACCAACTAAAACAATGAAAAAAATTGTGCAACAAAGTTCTGCAGCTAGACAACAGTGCTATTCCTCAACCTGCCTTTTCTAAGTCTAACAAGTGTATGCACATGCCAGCACGAATATTTATTGTTGCCTCCATGGCAAAGAAAAGAAAATTATTGTAGTGCATTTTTTAGTCTTAAATTCATTCACTGCCTTAAAGGCAGCAATAATTCCACTTGCTGGTATCTAGAGGATTCTTTTCGACAGGGATACTTAGCAATCCAGGATTGCTTTCTTTTTTTTCCAAAAATTTGTGAGTAACATTTGATTATCTACAGTGGGAGACACCATGCAAGTGACAAGTACTGCATTTTAAACTTTAAAATCTTTTGTCATTAGTGAATTTATATTTCATATATATATATTTGATGTGATACTATCCACTCAAGATAATACAACACTTTGTTTTTATATTAGCAAACATTTCAAGAGTTTAATATTCTTGAATGTTTTTTCTCTTTTATACTTCTAAAGAGATCAAAATAAATTAAACGTTTTGTACATAATTACAGAAGAAGTAGTTAACTTATTTTATCTTTTTAGTTCAGTACAAAGATATTTGCAAGTTCATTGCCGAAATACACCTTATTTATAAATTTCTTCCATTCTAACGCTAACAGCAAAGGCTCTTTGGCCTTTGGGCTTTCAGCATCTCTGACAGAAAGCTGCGAGATTTCTAATCGAAAGGTGCTACTTTGGGTATTCTCCTCGTACCACTACATAGTTTCCTAAGATGTGGGATCTAAAATGGCTTAAGTTAGTAACAGGTCTGTATTCATCAGCTTTTTATGACATATTAAAACAAATGAAGAAAATGATTATTTGTATTAGTATGCAAATTGTTTTAAAAGAATCCATTTGGAGGGCAGAATAAAAAAAAAAATCTACTTCAGCTTACTTAATGTAAAATACAAAGCCACATTTACTCAAAAAGCAGTATTGTCCAATAAGCAAAAAAAAAAAAAAGTTTAAAATGGGCTTTTCCAACACCCTGAAGGGCCTTACCCCATAGTCCTTCTTTTCTAAAATTTAGTGGTAAAAGAAAACATTTCACATTTTATTTCCTGCCAATCGTGACTGCTTTGAAAAGTCGTAATAGAAACAGTTCCATTCTGATGAGTGTCAGCATCTTATCTGCACACTTTTTAGTGGACACCAAAAAATTTTATACATCTATAGTAAAGTCCATGGAAGCTTTAAGGTACAAGACTACATGTTGTAGGCCACATAGATGGGATCTAGCTGGTCTGCCAAAAATCCATCTCGTAGGTGCATACGTTGTTTCTCTCCACGGGAGTTGATAGGAATTACACCAATGTCCACAACCACCACCACCCCAACAATCAGATAGTGCTCCTCCAGGACCACGTTGGTGACCAGAGGAACCAGGTCCAAAGCTTCTTGCTCCGATCCATCCAGCTCAACTACAACGACCAATAAATTTGTCCAGGTAAACACCGCACTGCAACGAGAGAAAAAACAGCATGAGCAGTGGGATTTTTTTTACCCTTTTCATTTTTTACCCTTTTCATTCCACCTTGGTTACCTTTTGTTTCAACTCCTAAGGCTCCTTCTGTATGCTCACCACAAAGTGTAAGTACCAATAGAGAACATGGCTGCAGGCAGGGGCAGAAGAACAACCCCACTTGCTCTCACTTTAATATTGCTGCAATGCGAAGTGTTGGGCTAAATTTTACAGAAACTTGAGTCTAATCCTTGCCTGCCATGTAAGGAGGTGGTCAGACGCCGTGCAGCTCTCTCTGAAGCCAGAGAAGTGTTGCAGCGCTGCTGTGTTCAAGAAGGCCTCCTGAGTGACATGTGGGTGGAGGGGTCTTCTCTGGGCTTTTTGAAGAGCAGCCCAGAAGAGCAAAGGAGGTTAAAAGAGGAGGCACCAAACAGCAGGAACGGAGTCCGAGTTGAGAGATCTCTGGGATAAACGCTGCCCAGCCAAAGGGTGTGGAGCCCTGGGAAGGTTGACATGGCACAGTGCAGAGGTCCCCGGGTGCCAGGGACGGGGCCAGGCTCACACGGCTGCGTGCCTTCTGGACTGGGCTGGCTGCTGTCCAGGCAGGACAGAGCTCAGTGAAAATAGCTGCGATTCTTCTGGACCAATTGGTTTACAGAGAAATAAGCAGTGTCTCCATCTGTTTTATTTCAGTTGTGGTTTATTTCTATTGGGTTTAAGGGGACGGGAGTTTTTTTAATCCTTATTAACAGGTGAGATGGTCAAGGGAACACCATTATCACCAGTATCTCCTCTTTACTAAAAGAACTTTTTAAGACCCCAAAATTTTGGTTAAACCCTTGAGCTGAAGCAGGTAAATTTTGGTTTCTGCTACTGGGCATCTTTTCTGGCTAAGGGTAATGCATTTATCCTTCCAAACCTGGAGGCTGGGAGGGTGTGAAAGCCTGGTGGATGCTTCCCTCCATCCTCCTCCCCACATCTCAAATGTCCCCAAAGACTCAGAGGTCTCACTGGAGGCCAGGAGGACAGAGGCTCCACAAGGAGAAACCTCAATCTTTCCTGCAGGTGTTTAAGACACAGACAATGGTTATTTCTTCCTCTAACTCATTCCATAGCACAACTAATATTCTACACATGTAACTCATGCATCAAGCCCTGTACTTCATCCTCCTTTACCTTATAAAATCAGGGGATAATTTCACAGATCTGTTTTGAGCATAAGCATCTGAAAGTTAGAATATATTATATATGTATAAGCCCACTTCAAAAAGAGCTGCTTACCCTAAGGTTGACGCTTGACTGGGACAGAAGTGCACTGCTTTGACCTACTAAGAAAATTCTGAAAATCCCTGTACTTAGGAAACATATCTTACTTTGCCCAAAAGTTAGCTATGGAAATGTGCTCTATGTTGATGCTTACAGAATGGATTGTAGGAGAAAAGTACTTACTGTTAAAAAAAAAATCATTTTCAGATCCTGCCACAGTACTATTTGATTGAATTCTTATGTGCTTATTGATCTGGAAAACTAATGGGCAGCCGGAGCAAGGCTGTGCTGGCTCTTTTTGACTTAATACTGCTATGAAAGGAATTTTAATTTATAATTTTGTTTTCACAGACATTCTAGTAAGTTTTGCTGAATATTAACAAAATAAAGTACCAGTCTGTGCAGGTGACCATCTCCAAAGAGTTCCTAGAATTTTTATAGTTTGCTGTACAAACGTCTAATTTAGTATTATATGTATTTTAATAAAAGAGCCTGGGGAGGGTTTATTAAAATATAAGCACTTGAAATCATGCCTTAAACCTACTGTTAGCTTGTTACCTGTGTAAGCAATTAATGGCAGGATTCAGGAGCAGGTCCCCAAAACATGGCTTAGGAGAAGTTAGTTTGTCAGAGTTCAGAAGACTGATTCCCAGAACCTTCATGAAGCTTAAGTCCTAGGGCCATTGACACTCCTAAGAGGGCTTCAGTTTAATTTAAAACTCATTTCGTATGTCATGATTCTAACCTAGTGCTGATGCCTGTAAGTAAAATGAAATACAGCCCTTTATGTTCTCACCAGTTGAGATGAAGGCATATTGAGATGAAGACATATTGGGCTGCATGTATCACTTACATTAACTTTCTAGCCTTGATGAATAAAAAAACCCCAAAACAACCTCAAACAAAAATCAATGGACCCAGGAAGGCTGTACTTTCTCAAGAAATGATGGTGTCACACTCAATGGATGCAACACAGCCAATGCACTGAGCTGGGAACGGCCCTTCCTGCTGCTGCCATCCCACCAAATGCTTCAGGAAAAGCAAGGAAGCTGTTGAAACACCTCCAGAGAAAGAGGCCCATAATGGTTTTCTTCTCCAAATATCTTGGGTAGCTTTGCCTCTTTGTCATTAAACAGAGAGAGAAAACCACTCCTCATCAAATTCCAGGAAGCTATGTTCTGTTCCTCTTTCAAGGGTCTGAAGTTTAAATGAGTCAACAATGTGCTTTAATTAAAACACATACACATTATTTCTCAAGATATTTTGCAGTATTAAAAGCGCTTTCAAAAAGGCCTGGTGTAGTTACACATCACAATATAAACAGACTGTGCCACTCCTTTGCTTGTTACATATTGAGACACAGGAGGTCCAGAGGAAAAAGTTCTTGATAAAATTTGCTAGAATTTCTTAAGAGATAAGAATAATTTGAAAAGACTTTTTAGCAGAATCTCATGTCAAGTCACTGCTTTCCTCACAGCATTAAATGTTACAAAATGAACATGTGTTTCTTGGAAGCTGAGGCTGTTTTTACATTCTATTGACTGGATGTACCCAGTACTTTTGCTTGCAATAGGTATGGGTCCAGTTAAATCCTTAATGGGTCATTGTAACCAAAACAACAGCAGCCTCCAACAAGAACAGAGGCTCGTGCCCCTGTCCAAAGAAAGGTGTACACAAAGTGCATATAAAAAGAAAGATTTAACTATTACTTTGTCAGGCGGTATTTGACAAAATAGACAAGAGGAGTATCTCAAAGAGAAGGTGAAAAAGAAGTGAAGTGCGAGAAGTCAAGGACAGTCAGGACTAGGACTATGAATGAAAACTCCATGGTGGTGGCTTGAGAGAGCTCCTGGGCAGAGCACTGGTTGGGAAGAGGCTGGGAACTGAGCAAACCAGATGTTGTTGCCCTGAACATTCTCTGCAGGGGCCACATCAGAGAAACAACTCATCAGCAATCTCTCTCTCCTCTTTGACCAAAAAAACCCTGAAGACTTTCATTTTCAGCCTTTGGGCAAAGGGTAGCAACAGTACAGGGCATTGTCTGAAATCTCGCACATGTGCCTTGCACATTATCACCCGACTACTGGGATTAAGTAGTTAAGGCATTGAGAATTATTTGCATCTCCTTCTACCTTCTTGCATAAATTCAGTGGCCTTTTTCTTTGGTCCTCCCAGCTTACCCCAACCTTTTTTTTGGCTGCCACTATCCCACTCAGGGTTTCCATCGTAATAGAAGGAAAAGGATCCTCAAAGGACTCTCAAAAAAGAACATAACTTAGGCATTTTTGGCCACCGAAACCCATGGTGACCATTTCTGCAGTGAGATATGGCTACTTCATTCACTGCCCATGACCTCACACTTCGAGGCCATCTAAAAATAGAGCTGTCCCTAAATAGCTTGAGCTGAAAACTTTCCATCCACTGCTGATATCGATCTGACACATTTTCAAGGAGACTTTCACAGCATCTTTGAAGTGCCCACACTGGTCTATATGAGGACACAGCATCCGCCACCCTGTGTCATGGTTAGCTGGCACAAGACCATGCCAGCTGCAATGAAGTTCTAGGGAGGAGGCAATAAAACAAAACCTCAGTAAGAGCCAGCCCAGCAATTAATTGCCTTAATTTTAACAGATATTTAATAGAAAAGCAAGGTGTTTTGACTGAAGAAACCAGTCCAGTCGCTGTGCTTCATTATTAAGTTCTCTGCTTCAGGCCACACTTTTGCAGCCAGGATTGAAAAGAAAACTGGAGAGTCACGTCTTACGCTCACTAAATTGCTCTGGCTGTTGCGACAGGTTCGTTTTGGATGAAAAGAGCTGAGCTGAAGTTATATCAAAACAAAACAACTACATGACTCAGTCTTCTGATGCAAGAATAATGAAAAGCAATTTGTTCTCATGTCGGCCTCAAGAAATGATTACTTGCTGTGTGCATTTGATGATGTGACACATTGATTAAGACAACATCACTATTAACTCATTGATTTACTGCTTTGGTTTCCATTGTGACCTTGATTTGAACACTGCTTGATTTATTAATAACCAATTCAAAAGTAACAGTGTGTTCACTAATAAAGTTTATTAGTGTGTTCATTTATTTGAAATGTTTGCTTGCTTACTCCTTGTAATAACAACACTCCTAAAGCTTGAACTCATATTGATTTGCTCTTCCTGGTTAAAATATCAATCCCAAACTCCAAAAAACAGCTACTGACCTACCTGAGAGCTGCCCAGTTCTCTCAAAATAAAAACCTAATCCTTCACTTGTACTTAAAAACACAAAAAAAGGGGACATATTGAATGATCTTAGCAGAAAATAGTCTTTCCTGATTAAATCTGCTTGTGAAAAGTTTCATCCTAAGGAAATACTTACAGCTGGGTTACAAATCCCTTGGCCATCCTGACAGGCCATTTCCTGGATCAGCTGCAATACTCAAGAAAAACCCCAAACATTATAGGCATTTCCGCTTTATATAAAGAGCCCTGGTGTTATAAAATCCTTACCATTCTGTGATGCTCTTGTGTGCTCTAATTACAGAGGTTTCAATATCGATCGGATGGTATCTCATCCCTCGTAACTCCATGGCTTCATCTAATGCACCCACAACATAAAGTGCATCATGGCGTTCTGGTTGTAAGGGAAAAAAACCATTAATGATTCTATCCTCCAGTACATTACATTACAGAAATGTTCACATTAATAAATAAAAAAGTATAATGTTTCTAATTTATCCTCAAATTTCTGAAACCCCAAAGTGATTTCTGAACTAATAAGGATTTTCCATTACTGAAGTCCGATGCAGAGCAGAAAGCAGAAGAAAGGAAGGCAGAAACACTGTCCCCGCTTGAAGAAGAGAAAGGTGGAAGTCTTTATCCAAAGACAGTGGGATGAATTCCTGGTTTTCTCATGGGTGGATGCAGAACAGACTCATTTGTTTAAGCCGCCCAAAATAGACAAATGCTCCTTGTTTCTCTTTCTTTTGAAAGAGGAAGGATGGATTTGACCCTAACAGCATGGATTATGTTCTTCCAGCAGCTCTGAGATGGTCAGCACTGGTGCTTACGGTGTGTTACAAAGGTGTTTATCAATAAAGGAGAAATACGTCCTACATGCCTCATAGCAAATTGCTCATTCAGACAAATGGCAAGCTCTGAACCGTAATGCTCTTATAGTACAAATTTTTACTGACTAAAGAAATAAATGAGGCTGAAATTACACTTTTTAAAAGATATGAGGCTGATAATAAATGACTGCATGTTATCCAAAAAGGAAATAATATTCGCTAATAGACTTAAAAGCAGATAAGTGGCTCTATTTACATTAATTGAGATAGTTGCACGGTGGTAATGTAATGAAAATATAACACCAGTAATAAAGGGCAGAGAAAGAACTTTCTGCACTTGGAGCTAAAAGTTGGAGGAGAAAGGAGACTCAGCAACATTTTGCCAGGAGAAGATTTAAGCCATTGGGATGCTTAAGTTGCAATATCCTCAGAGAATCTTGAATCTTCTCAAGGCTGGGCTATCATGATGAAATGAAAAAAGCCTGTGCAACTGAAAGTAAATCTCTTCAGGAAGATGCTAACACAAGGACATGGGCAGCAGTCATAATCCACAGTGATTACTAAAATGCTTTCAGATTTGATGAACTCAGATGAATTCACTCTTTGGCTGAAGAGCTGCTCTTTTAATTCTGATCCCTCCTGGAGGTGCCTGCAGCACGGCTAGAAACCCCACTTTGCCAGCAGCCTGGACTCCCACCTCAGCCAGCCCCTGCTCATGGCACTGTGTGCTGCAAAAATCACAGGAAAGGAATGTGTTCCCAAGCAAAGACTTTGTGTGCCTGGCGGTGCTGGTGTGCCTACATGTGTAATAATGTGCATAAACCATAAAATAATGTCATAAAATCAAATGACAAAATCCTCTGCGTTCCCAGCAGAAACCCTAACACCCTGCAGCCTCTCCTGCAGCCGACTGCCTGTGTTACATCTTAGTAACCATCCCCACAGGTTTGAAGACAAGGAAATTTGAGAAATCAGTAACTTCTCTAAGTTTACAACAGAGGAATTCTCAAGGAAGGTGGTCGTCACAGGAGGGACAGGGCTCACACTCACAAGGTTTTTCTGTCTGCATAAATGCATTCCCGTGGGTATGACTGCAAGAGCAAATAATGGCATTTTTAAGCTGTGTTTCATATTTTGCAAGTTGAAGCACTTGGCACATTAATAGTGCCAAAAAGTCACCAGTGGAGGGGTTTTATAGCACCTGAGGTACAGCAAAGGAAAAGCAATGGTTTCAGCAGTGAAATCTTGGCCTCTGTTTTATTTTCTGATTATTTTAACTAAGGTTTTTTTGCAGTTCTACAGGTTTCACAGACTGAACATGTTGGGTAGCACAGGCCAAGAGACACAGTGTTAGCCTCAAAATAATCCAAATTATGTGCACAGATCTAGATGGTGAGCAAGTTCTTACCTCCATTTGCATCTGTGAGCTCTGTTCTTCTCAGGAACCCCAGATAGCCAGTTCGAGCCCAAATAGTCTGTGTGTCTCCAAAGCTGAGTCTCGAATTAAAATGATCTGACTGCAAAGATTCATCTCCATAGATGGTAAAATACCCACTGGCGTTGTGAGTGCTGTGAACCCATATCTAAGTTAAAAGGAATTATACTGGTATTAATTAAAGTAGCTTTCCAGAGTGAAGCATTATTGAAAATTCTTGCTGCAAATATTTTTAATCATAACTAGATGATACGGTAACATTTTAACACAGTTTTTTAACACTGTCTTTTAACACTGTCTCTGAACTCGTAACTGACCCAGTTCTAGGCAGAGACCCCCAAAGTCCGAGTGCGGATCTGGGCTGTGGTGGTGGTGAGGGACGTTGGGCTCAGGGCTGCGGGGACGCCTGCCCTGCAGTGCTCTGGCCCCAGGTTACCCAAGGACTTCCCTGGCTCTGAGCTCTGCTGGGTCATGGCAATTTTCAGATGAGCCTATAGACCATGGTGCTCTTTCCATAGACCCCACCTGGTGCAGTGTATTTACTCCAGTGGAGCATCCTCCACGAACACCACAGAGGCAGATTAATTTAAAGGCTGAGGGCAGGGACCTTCATCTATGGAGGATTCATTTCATCTAACTCAAGGCATCATGGAAATATTTACAGTTTCATAGTAACACAATCTTACAGATGAATGTCACAAATCAGATTGTAGTTTTAATTATGACTACAAAATCCTTCATTTTGTTAATCAGATCATTAATTGTTCATTGAAAATAACATTTTTTCTCTCTCTAGAAACATAAAATAAATTGGAAAAACATATAGCCTTGCTCAACTCAGCTAATGAGAGTACTTCAGTGCACTGAAGCACAATGATTATAAAGAGAATAGCACTGGAAAACCATCTAGCTGAAATTAGACTAATCAATAAACTTATATTTCATGTAAGTTTCCATCAGAATTAGTGAAGCACCAAGAAGGAAATACAGCTAGAAAAAGCAGATTTTTTTTTCCATTTTTTTAACAAACTTGAGCTATTATTAGTATTTATCAAGTATGTTACTAACAATTTTAATGATGATACAAGTATTATGTTACACATTTTACGCACAATAGAGATCTGTACAATCTTCTTAACCAGGCATCTGATAAGACGTATTATAGGAAACCACTTGCATACACAATGATAGCTTTATCTCTGCAATTTAGTTCAGAGCATACAAAGGCTAAGTTTTCATGACTCACCTCACCAAGATGAGAATCTCCTAAGGGTCCCTTCGTTTCTGGATTAGCAATAATGATTCGTACTCCTGGGAGGATCTAGTGAAAGAAAACATGATGCAGTGAGAAAGCAGATACTAGCTTATGCAATCATATACTGACTTTTTGTCCCCAAAAAACCTTCGTAAGAAACTAGAAGAAATCCTTAAAAACTTAAAGTAGACTTGTATCATAAAAAATTAAAATAGTCCATAGATGTAAAAAATTCTGAGAAATATGGGAAATGCCACAAAACCTCTTATCTTTGTGAAAGCTGTACCATGATCAAAAACTCCTCAGAAATCAAATGTTTACCTCTAATACAAAAATCCTACGAAATGGTCAAAATCTACCACCAGGGACGGTCCCTTTGCAGGTGAGCAGTAGCCTGTGAGTACAAGGTTGGTAATCTCAGACCAGCTCTCAATGCAGAGGGTCTGCATCAATAAAACTGCCTTTACCAGTGGCACATTTGTTGACTGTTTCAAGAGTGAGATGCGGAGGATGAAATACCTTCTTTTTGCATCAAAGAAAAATGTTTTTGAATAAAAGGAACAGCTTCTGAGAGAGCAGTAATGCAGCAGTTACCACCCCTGTGCTGTAACCTCAACGGTAAAGAAAGGTCCTCAGTCTGCGCGGCTGATAAAGCTTCCTCAACGCTGCATTCACTTACAAATGACCAGAAAAGGAAATTTACTGAAAATATTTACCATGACAGACATGTTTAAATCTTCCTTCAGTACTTACTTTTCCTGACTCCATGAGGGGCAAACTATGTGGAGATCCTCTTTCTACTAAACGAACTCTGTAAAATACATGTAAAAATAATACACGTAATACAAGGCTGCATTTATTTCCCTTTATTAACATTTATTTCTAAAAGGAATGGTTAATTTTGCAGAATTGAGGTTCTTTTTGGAACAGATGGAGTTTATATCCTGTAGAACATAATCAAGCCCAATATTTAATCTTAGTCAAGATTTATGGCTGGGAAAATAATGAAAAAAAGATGTGTGTGAATGTTTTCTGAAATATTAAATTCTTCAGACGTACTTGGTGGCTTTTATTTGTTTTTGATAGACTTTTGTAAATGGAACTCTATGCATAAATTTATTCACAACAAGATGGACCTAAAATATTGATTTCCTACAAGAACATCATAAATGCCAGGGCACAGACACAAAAGCATGTGAGCTGAGTGAGCAACCACATTCCACGAGTAGCTAACAGTTAAAATTGGTCAGACCTAAGCAGATCATAACCCGGCCTCAGCCTGAAATCAGCATCTGCAATCTTTTAATTATTTACAATAGACAGTGACTGATAAACATTTTAATAACAACCAAAAAATATCATTCAATGAAAAATGTTATTACTGCAGAGGTCAGACCCTTTCTCTGAGTGTGGCTTCTTGGTCCTTCCTCTTCCTTTCACAGATAACTTATTTTCCCACTAAAGGAACAGAAACGGCAGCTCTTCCTCAGTGGTATGATGGTCTGGAAGGAAATTCCTCATTTAACCTTACAGAAGTACTCATCAGATCAGAATGAAAGAGACTTAAAAGTCCTAAAAGAGCTGCTGCTCTCAGCCAGTAGATGAAGAAAATTTGAGAATATTCAGGCATTCCTGTATCCTAAGTGAGATAACTTAAAAGCACTAACAGCCCATGAAAACATCAAACTCCCCACTCCTGAGCAGTTTTCATAATCCACTGAACCAACCCAAATCCGGATTTTGGTCAAAAGAGCTGTTCTTACCTCTTTCACCCCCTCAGCTCTGTAATGAAAACGAAAAGAAGAAAACAACACAAGATGCCTAAAACCCAACGCTTTAAAAGGTAAGGATGAACCGTCAGGAGAGGACAACTGGGGTGCACAACTGGGTGGAGAACTGGATCTGGTTAAACGGATCATAATACTGCAGTCTGTTAGGAACGGTCGCAATGCATCTTTTTGGACTGTTTCGAGGTCTTTTTATAGACAGAGTACCGCAGTGCTCATTTCGGGAAAGGAGGGGTGAGACACAGAGAGACCTCAGCTAGAGGTCCCTTTGAAGAATAAAGCTTTGGCAAGTTCAGCCCCTAAACATAAAGGAGAAGGAAAAGGATACATTTTTTTAAACTGTTTCTTTGCTCCACAAGTCTTCTATAAAAGCTGGGACTGCTGAGGTCAAGGCAGGAATAGTGAATAGTGTTTTATCTGCAGTTCTGGGAAGTCTCTCAGCCTTGATGGACAGGGCAGGGCTAAGCCCTGAGGCACCGTGCATCAGTGTGAGCAGTTCCTTGCAACAACAGCACGGGATACAACCCAAATCCCCAGCGACTTCAGACTGCTTTTCCAAGTCATTCTGAGGGAAGAAGGATATAAAGTCCCCTACGTGGAGCACTGCCTGGAGCCTGCGTGGTGAGGCAGCTGCGGCCTGACCTGCTCTGCTGCAAGGTGCACTTCTGTGTGTCACCTTTAATGTCATACTGTCCCAGAAAAAGGAGCACTGCATTGCTCTCTTAAACCCCTGCTCTGTTACAGGCGTGCAGACATGCCCATGTTTACTACAATGCTTTCTGCTGAGCCTTGACCAGCTGAAGAGCAGCAGGGCCACCACTGGATGCACAGCAAAAGCAGTGAAGCTCCAACATCCGTCTGCTCAACCAGGGACACAGACAGAGGGCAGCCGAAACCTGAGCTTCTCTACAAGGTGTACATACAAGGCTAAATGAATGCCGCTCTATAAAGGATATGTCTACATAAGCCACACTTGCGTTGCTGTTCAAATGGCAAGCCAAATCCTAGGTATTTAGGAGCATGCAGCAAAGGCTTTGAATAACTCTGCATATGGAAACAAAATCAAATACTGCAAGAAACAGTTGTTGATAATACCTGTATTTCTGCCTTTTAATATGTATCTTTGTTCTATAAAATCCATATTAGTGTAGAAATAGAAAATGCCTTAAAATTACTTCTTCCAAACAACTGACATCTCCAGTCTTTAGGTGCGTATTTGCAGACAGGAGGCTGCTCTTAGAAGAAAGAGTCATCAGCTCAATCACCTGATATCTGCTTTAACTAACAGAGTTATCTTATTAATTATTTACCAGCATTTGTCCAATAGATAAAATCTTAAAAAAGAGACAATTTGAAAAACTTCAGCCATAAGCACTGGTAAGAAACATGGTGTAACAAAGGTCAGGAAATACTTTATTTGAATTTAAGATTGGTTTTGAAAGACTTTGATTTTTATAACAGTACCAAAAAACCTCTGGGGCTGGAAAAGTGTATGTCAGAGCTGTCCAGCTGGCCTGTGCTCCCTTCCTGTTATTAAGACATCCTTCAGTGAAGTGTTGCTGAACTCCAGGCCCAGCTATATAATGAAGCTATACATTCAATAGGCAGTGAAGTGACTACCGGAAAGGAATCAGCATTCACAAATCTGACCATCTCTTTCCTCTCTACTTCCACTATCTGTGCTTCCCACATTTTTCTTATTACCATTATTATTCTAGTTCCCTTCTCCTCCTATTTCCTTTAACCTCATCTGACTTTTTAGCACGTGATGATCCAGAAAGCCCAATTTCTCAATGTGCAATTCTGTTACACCTCTCCCACCCTGTGCTGTCCACCTCACATCCCTGCAGAGTGATCACAGCAGTGCCCTAAACACAGACATGGTATTTCCTGAGGTTCTCCGAGAGGGCCCTGTTAGTGCTCAAAAACTTGGACTCCTTTTTATCGAGTTTCTGCTAATCACAGAATCCATTTGGGAACATGCTGTTAAACCTCTAACAACTCTGAAATAATAGAACATATTTTGCCACAAAGAGATTTCAAAAAAATAGAAGTAAAACATTAGATTCTGATGTTACCGAATCCTATGTGCATACTTAAGTGCCTAATAGTCTTATTAACTCTACTGGGACTAGCACTGTGAATAAATTATGGACATTAGGCAATAATTTTTTAAAATTAGTTTTACTGTGCCTCAGCATAAAATAATTCAATTGTTCCCTCTCTTTCCCAAGAGATTTCCATCTTTGCACTGACAAACACAGAAGCAGACACAATTGAACATTTCTTTGCTTCTCTCTCACGTGAGCAGCATCACTGTCAGGGCTGTCTGGTAAAAAGGCAGCACAGGACCCATCACCCCTTGAAAAACAACGCCTCTGAGTTACCCAGGTGTCCTGGTTTGAACTAATTTTCTATTTAGTGAATTTACTTTTCAGCTCAGTCTCTTTTAAGTGGCTGAACTTGCTGAAAACTGGCAGCATGTTTTTTCCCAGATAGTGTGAACTGATAATCTCAAGGACAATTGCCTCACCATGGGTGCCATGTCTGCACCTATGGGAGGGGGAAGCGGACCCAAAACTGACCAACTAGGTATTCCATCCCACACACGTCATACTCGGTATACAGCTGAGGGATCACGAGGGTCTCGACCGTTCATTCATCTTGGAGCCCTTCCATCTTGGACCCTTCCGTCCATCTCGATCCTGCAGAGGCCGAGGCCTGAGCAGAACCCTGCTAGTTCGTCTGCCGCTGATCCTGATTTGTGTGTCCTGCACCCTGCTCCCACTGCCGCTGAGTTTGGTCTGGGACTTTTCCAGTGCCCAGCTCTGCAGAGCCTCTGGTGACGTATTCGTCATTGGGGGGAGGGTAGAGGGAGGATTTTAGATTGGTTTTGTATATATTTGTACATATTTGTATATATTTCATTATTTTGCTATTTACAATATTATCCTGTAGTATTAGTATTATCGTTCTACTAAATCTGTTAGTTTATTTTCCAACCCATAAGGTCTCTCTCCCTTATTCTCCTTTCTCTTCCCTTCTGGGAAGGGGAGAGGGGTTAATAGAGAGCATCTGTCCAGGATTTAGTGGCTGGCCCAGCCCTAAACCGCAACACCAGGTGATGCTGGGGCTCCTTACAGTCTGCTTAGGACAGCGTTAGGAAACCTTCTGCAAATTCACAAATAATCAGTGCGTGCACCCAGGCAGCAGAGGTTTGGAAAGGGCAAGTCCTGTTTCTCTGCAGTGCTGCAGCCATTCTTTGTTGGGAGCGAAAACAACCTCCTACAAAGTGAGCAGGGAGCCTTCCCGCTGCTTTCTGCTGCCTCCAAGTCTTGCTGAGAAGGGCAGAGGAGAACAGGGCCATAGAGCCGGCCTGGGCAAAGAGCCTGAAAATCAAGTGGATGGGGGAAAAATGCTGCCCTTGGGCGTGAAAGTCACTTCTGCACCTTCTGGTGGTTTGCAGCCAGGCTGAGAGGGAAAATATAAAGGTGTGACCCAATGTAGGGCAGCCGTGGAGTTTCTCTCCTGCCAAAATGTCTCACTGGAGAGGAGAGGCAAAAGATGTTTTAGGATCATTGTACTGTTTCAAAGCTATAAGCAATAATACACAATGAATCTGTAGTATTTACATAGTATAGTATAAGATAGTATAATTTTCAGAATTTTCTTCACTTGTTCCTAAGAATTGATCTTTTTTCTTAAAAAAATAAATCTCAAACTAGAGCTGTACAGTTGAGAGAGTTACCTACATTTCAAAGTTGGGCTACTGGGATTTAATAGGGAATGCAGTTACAACATCAGTATGTGCTAAACTTCCTTTTTGTTACAGTTTAATACATTGGACAGATTTTACCTCCTTCAAATCAAACCCTTACTATGGAAAAGGAGGACTGAAATCTGACTTCAGAATGAAAACTGGCAAGCTGTAACTAATGGGTACTCTAAACACTGTGCAGCAAAGGAATATCAAAATAGAGTATCTGTCTCTCTGGTCAACTCTCTTACATGAAACTGCAAATTT